TTTTTAAATTTGATTTATATGCCGCCCTTCTCTGGAGACTCAGGGCAGCTTACAATGCGTTAAGCAATAGCCTTCATCCTTTTGTATATATTTATACAAAGTCAGCTTATTGCCCCCACAATCTGGGTCCTCAATTTACCTACCTTAGAAAGGATGGAAGGCTGAGTCAACCTTGAGCCTTGGCGAGATTCAAACCTGCAGTAATTGCAGTCAGCTGGTCTTAATAACCAGCTTAATAACAGGGTGCCTTAGACCACTGTACTACCAAGGCTCCATAAAAAATATACAAAAGTATGAAGGCTATTGCTTTACGCACTGTAAGCCGCCCTGAGTCTCCGGAGAAGGGCGGCATATAAATCAAATTAAAAAAAAAAAAGGCACACTGGGGCGCCTATGCACGCCCCTTAGAGACCACTTAGGAATGGGGGTGAGGTCCACAGTAGACCGTTTTAAGGTTAAAGTTTTGGGGGTTTGGGGGAAGGAACCCCAGAGTCAGGTAGTGCATTCCAGGCATTGGCCACTCTGTGGCTGAAGTCGTATTTTCTGCCATCGAGTTTGGAACAGTTTACCTTGAGTTTGTATCTATTGTTTGCTCGTGTATTGAAGTAGTCATTGACAGGTAGGACGTTGTGGCAGATAATTTTACGTACTACGCTTAGGTCAGACCGAAGTCGGCGTAGTTCTAAGTTGTCTAAGCCCAAAATTTGGAGTCTGGTGGCACAAGGGATTTTATTGCGGGTAGAGGAATGGAGGACTCTTCTCGTAAAATATCTCTGGACTCGTTCAATTGTATTTAAGTCCGATATGCAGTGCGGGTTCCAGACAGACGAGCTGTATTCAAGAATTGGTCTAGCAAAGGTTTTGTATGCTCTAGTTAGTAGTACAACATTACCGGAGAAGAAGCTACAGGGCTGCCAGTCTCAAGAACGCATTCACACAACCCTCTGGTTAAATCCAGAGGTTTGCAGCCTGAGAAACTTGGATTTGTCGGTCTCGGGTGCAAGATCTCACCACGACGGCTGGCCAACCAAAAACCACGCATGGCTAAAAGTTAGCCCTGAAGGATCAGCCTCTTTGCTCCAGGTTGGGTGTTAATCTGGCTGCGGGTTCAGGAAAGGACTCCAAAAAAACCCCCATCCCTGCAGATAGATAGAAAGTTGTTTCTACCTCCATAATTTGTCTTCAGGAGCTGAAAATAACCCTATGGGGGTATCCCAAAGGGTTTTTTTTTTTCAAGAGGCAGCTGGACTTTCTGGTTTTTAACAGATTGATAGTGTTGGAAGGGACCTTGGAGGTCATCTAGTCCAACCCTCCCGCCCCGCCACCATTTCTGACAGAGGGCAGTCCAGTCTCTTCTTCAAAGCTTCCAAGGATGAAGCTCCCACAACTTCCGAAGGCAACTTCTGTTCCACGGGTGGATTTGACGGGTCGATTCTGTCGATCAGTGGTACAACAACCCTGTAGGGCAGGCTGGTAGAACAGATAGTCCTCGACTTACAACATTTGGCGACCGTTCAGTGTTACAACGGCCCCGAAAACAAATGACGTATGACGGTTTTTCACCGTTTACGACCGATGCAGTGTCCTTGAAGACAGTTCGCTTCTCATCCGAGAAGCTTCTTCATCTCTGACCGGTTGGATGGTGGGGAATGGAAGGACAACCCTACGGGGAATCCTCGACTTATGACTACAATTGGGGGCCCTGGACTAGTCTTGCTAAGCAGTGTGGTTGTTAAAGCAAGTCACACCCGATTGCTGTGGAAACGGCTGGACTTGGCATGGTGATTGCAATCTTTAAATCCTTCACGTACTGCCAGGCATTAAACTTAATGCAGAGTTTATCCCAGAGTGTGACCTTGGCTGATTCTCGACAACGGTGCATTAAATATCATTTTAATGTCTCCAAGCAGGTTTTTAAGTTTTTCTGGCCTCCGGCACGTCCTGCCCCAATGTTCAGTTAAGGGCTCGTAGCCCAACCGGACGAGCTACGTAGGCGTGCATCTTTCTTCCCAGCGCAAGCTTTCCAAAGCCAGGAGTGGGCTGTTAATACCCATCATCCTTAGCCCCATGCGGTGACAAGGCACGGCGTAGTCCAATGGCTTGGAAGAAATGGGTGGGGTCTTCATGGGTCTTTTGGGGGAACAAACGATGAGCGCTCGAAAGCCCATTGACAGAAACCGGAATGATGGGATCAGAGCCCAATTAAAATCAGAGAAATTTTTTTTTTACTACTCCCATCTCCAAAATTCCAGCATCTAATACCTGCCTGCCCACTAAAGGACCATTTAAGCAAACATACTTTAACCTTTAGCTGAAAAAGAGAGGACAAAGGAGGGGGCGTGGTTTTATTCCCTGTGGCAGGGAGTTCCACAGTCTGGGAGCAGCCGACACCCAAAAAGACCCCCCCTCTCTTAGGATTTCCCCTGAGCATCTTTATAGCAACCAGGTGCTTAAAAGAGGAGCAGGGATCTGCAACCTTAAACACTCAAAGAGCCATTTGGACCAGTTTCCCACAAAAAAGAAAACATCAGGAGCCACAAAACCCTTGATTATTTCTCGAACGGCCACAAAACTAGCATAGGTAGTTGAATTAAACATTCTGTTTTCTTCTGAAACTTTTCTTTCCTTGGATTTATCCATGGTTGGCCTACCGGGGGTTGAAAAGCTCAATAAATCGCGTGCCGGGCGGGTGTCGCACATTGACGGTTGTGACGCATATTTTGAGTGACAAGGAGCCGCAGCAGAGGGGTGAAAGAGCCACATGCGGCTCCAGAGCCGCAGGTTGCTGACCCCTGCCTTAAGAGGATCACAACATTGGGTGGAGATTTGTGACGATCTTCTTCATTTTTAAGTGTGGGGGGGGCTATTTTCACACAGCTGGCGGATGGGTAGATGATAAAATCCCGTTTCTGCCCTGCTTAGTGTCTAATTTGCCACCCGGGAAGTTTAAAGTCTCCGTACAAAATTCAATAAAACCTCTTTTTTGGGGGGAGGGGAGATGGGTCAAATGGCTACAAAGAGCGGGACGAGCTATGTTTAATCTCTGGCCCAGATCCAGCCAAAACAAGCCGGAAAACTTGAGTTGTAGCTGTGCAACGAGTCTCTATTATCCATCTGCCACTTCCAAAAAAGCGGGGGACTTTTGCGGCTCCACTCTTCCTTCTCTTTCGGGCCCCGCACAAAATATTTGGAATGATTTCTCAAGAATCCTGAGAATTATTTCTTTTTAAGCGCAGCCATTTCCTTCGGCCTCGTTTTGAGCACCCGAGAGCTGTTTGGGGGGGAGTTTCCGTTCCTGGTGTCCTTAGGAGCAGCTTGCAAATTGCTGGCAATCTTTCCCATTTTAAATTGCAATTGTAAATTTCCTTGCTTAATGTCCCAGGGCCATCTGTCCCATTAGGGGGACGGTGGGGGGGGAGGGGTAACCATCCATCCATCGTCCCCTTCCAGCTTTTTGGCGTTTTTTTTTAAACTCTGCAGAGTAACCCTCCGCTCCTCAGGGCAATGGCCCCTTAACCTTTTTGCTTCTTTGCAGCGATGCCAACTCTTCTCTTGCCCGGTTTTTGGGGACCCAGGTGGCAGCTGCATTGGAAGGCGAATGCCAGGCAGCAAGAATGTCTGGCGGGGACTCAAATGGGTTTGAGAAGAATTCTCACCTTCTGGTTGACGCTTGGCAGCTTCCGAGCATTGACGCCTTCCTATCCAGAGGCAGAAGCCGTCGATGCCCGCTGAAAATTTATTTTGGTGCCCCTTGTAAAGAACTGGCTGCAGAGGAAACTGGCTTTCGACTACGTTGCATCCAGTGGTGGGTTTCAAATTTTTTTACTACCGGTTCTGTGGGTGTGGCTTGGTGGGCGTGGCTTGGTGGGTATGTCAGGGGAAGGATACTGTAAAATCTCCATTCCCATCCTACTCCAGGAGAAGGTTACTGTAAAATCCCCATTTCCTCCCGATCAGCTGGGATTTGGGAGGCAGAGAATAGATGGGGGGCAGGGCCAGTCAGAATTTTTACTACCGGTTCTATGAACTACTCAAAATTTCCGCTACCGGTTCTCCCGAACCGGTCAGAACCTGCTGGAACCCACCTCTGTTTGCATCCATTTATCTCCCCATAAATTCACCCGGTTTTCGGTTACTCCCTTTGCAATAATCAGCATTTTTTACCCGTGTTTTCCCGAAAATAAGACTGGGTCTTATATTAATTTTTGCTCCAAAAGACGCATTAGGGCTTATTTTCTGGTTAGGTCTTATTTTATGCGGGGGGCGGGAAATACGGTACTTACTGCACCCATCTGGCTGACAATCTTAACTGGGGCTTATTTTGGGGAGTAGGGCTTATATTATATTATATAAACCGGGCTGGTTTAACATATTTTTAAACATTTTTAACTGGTTTGTCATTTTAAATTGGGGCCAAATCAATATATACCCTTTTAATTGTTTTTAATGTTTGTATTGTATGTTTTTAGCTGGCTGTACACCGCCCTGAGTTCCTCGGGAGAAGGTGCGGTATATAAATTCGAAATAAATAAATAAATAAATAAAAATATTACGAACGTCCTGAAAAATCATGCTAGGGCTTATTTTCCAATTGGGTCTTATTTTCGGGGAAACGGGGTATCTTACCATCTTCATTCTCACTCCTGCTCTCGTTTCCTTCTGCAAAATTTATGCCTCCTCCTTTCATCCTTCGGTCAGGGTTGCGTCTCTGAGGCCTGAATTGTTGTGCCATGGCTATTGTGTCACGCTCCCATATATTTAGCCGCAGTGGTCAGGAGCTCACGCGGGCACATCTCGCTGTCTATCGTGACGGGTTAAAATCACCCAAGTGGGTCTTAAAATGCCAGATATTCTTAAGCTGAAGAAATGAGGTGCGAGCATCGAAGCTCAATCTTTGCAAGGGACACATTTTGGAGGGGGGGGGCTCAATAAGATTCATATCCCTTATAATCGCAGGTTACCGAAAGAGGAAAAAGAAGAGAGAGTAACGGTTTCCCTACCTTAACATATTCGCTCGAAGATCCTAATCCGTCAGGATGCCTAGAAATAGAGAGCATTGTTAGAAATGAGCAAAAATCAGTCAAAATACCAGCAATTTAATGGAAGCTTCGGCGAAAGTAAAAAAAATATTGCTAAAATAAACCAACAGGAAACTAACAAGGCACAGTTCGTAGCAGACAAAATGTGTGACGCTTAACACTTTACCCGCTTTTAAATATTGAAAATCATTTTTTAGACAGCACTTTATGTTACTTATTAAAATAAATAAAATAAGATGACTTTGTAAAAATATACAAAAGTATGAAGGCTATTGCTTAACGCATTGTAAGCCGCCCTGAGTCTCCGGAGAAGGGCGGCATATAAATCAAATTAATATATATATATATATATATGCCACCGGCCTCACCGCCAAGAAAAGAAGGAAGGGAAATAAGGTATATAGTAGTAGATCTAAGGGAAATGTATTAATATTAGTAATTGTGAATGCAAAAAGTAAATAGGATGAGGTATATTGTGTATTGTAAAATGGAACAGCGGATGAAATATGAAGTGGTTTAATTAGGTTTAATGATGAAAATAATTGAAATTAAGAGACAAAAAAAAGTGTGATGGGGATTTTGAAATAATATGTTGTAAATGATGCAACAAAATAATTAATTGATGCTATAATAGAAGTTAGGAATTAAGGGTGGATAATGATATTGCTTATTATGTATTAAGAAGAGATAAGATAAGATGTGGACGATCAGTCAAATTAAAGGGTTTCAATGTAAGAATGGAATAAGATGAAGTTTATTGTTTGTAACCAAAAAAATGTGTTGGGGATTACAAGAAACATACTTTATAAATGGAGAAAAAAGATAATTAACTGAAGCAATGCTAAGAAATTAAGATTGGAAGGGCGGATGGTGATACTGTTTATACATTAATATATTAAGAAGAGATTAAGATAAAGAAGTGGAGAAAAAGAATATCATGGCAGTAAATGAAATATGGTAAAAACAAAAAAGAAGTTTGGAATAGATCATAAAAATCAACATATAATTATGTCATGAGTTGTAAAAAATGTGAGCCAGTCAATACTCAGTTCAGAAAATATGCATGTAAAAGAAAGATTCAATAAAACTTGTCTACAAAAAAAAAGAAAGAAAAAAAGAAAGAAAAAAAGAAAGAAAAAAAGAAAGAAAAAAAGAAAGAAAAAAAGAAAGAAAGGGCTCCTCAGAGGTTTCTAGACTGACCACCCTCATTTAGAGCCGTAGTGGCGCTGTGGTTAGAATGCGGTACTGCAGGCTACTTCTGCTGACGGCCAGTACTTCTGGCGGTTCGATTCCCACCGGTTCAAGGTTGACTCAGCCTTCCATCCTTCCGAGGTGGGTAAAATGAGGACCCAGATTGTTGGGGGCAAAATGCTGACTTTGTAAACCGCTTAGAGAGGGATGTAAAGCACCGTGAAGCAGTATATAAGAGCCTTGGTGGCACAGCAGACTAAAGCACTGTTCAGTAGCACCAGCTGCCTGCAATTACTGCGAGTTCGAATCTCACCAGGCTCAAGGTTGACTCAGCCTTCCATCCTTCCGAGATAGGTAAAATGAGGACCCGGATTGTGGGGGCAATAAACTGACTTTGTATAAAAAAGAACACCGCTTGGGGGGGCCTAAAAAGCCCTACTAAGCAGGTATATACAAAAGTATGAAGGCTATTGCTTAACGCATTGTAAGCCGCCTTGAGTCTTTGGAGAAGGGCAGCATATAAATCGAACCAATAAATAAATATAAGTCTAAGGGCTATTGCTGTTGCTATCCATGCACAGGCTGAACCGAGCATAGGCACAAACCTACATTTCAACAAACCATGGCTTAAATGGGATGAATGACCTCCATTGAATGACCTCTGGTAGCTCTCAAGATACATTTTGTTGTGTATCTATCAATGAATATTTTCCTCTAGCTTTAAGCTGCCTCGCTTTCTAGTTCAGAATACACGGAAAAGTTTTTTTCAGCCAAGTTTTTTTCCCTTTGCGCCTTGAAAACTAAACAATGAGATCACTGCATTAACAAGAGTATTTTGCTCATAATTATGTATCAGCAACTGCGCTCTTTTCAAGACTTGGCATCCATCTATTCCTTTGGAGAATTCAGAACGCTGTTTGACAGATTAACAGAGTTGGAAGGGACCTTGGAGGTCATCTAATCCAACCCCCTGTCAAAGCAGGAGACACTAAACCGTTTCTGACAGATGGCAGTCCAGTCTCTTCTTGAAAGCCTCCAGTGATGAAGCTCCCACAACTTCTGTTCCACTGGTTGATTGTTCTCAATGTCAGAAAGTTCCTCCTCATTTCTAGGTTGAATCAATCAATCAGAATAGAGTTGGAAGGGACCTTGTAGGTCATCTAGTCCAACCCCCCACTCAAGCAGGAGACCCTACACCATTTCTGACAGATGGCAGTCCAGTCTCTTCTTGAAGGCTTCCAGGGATGAAGCTCCCACAACTTCTGAAGGCAACTTCTGTTCCATGGGTTGATTGTTTTCACAGTCAGGAAATTTCTCCTTATTTCCAGGTTGAATCTCTGCTTGATCGGTTTCCATCCATTATTCCTTGTCTGGCCTTTGGGTGCTTTGGAGAATAGCTTGACCCCCTTCCTCCTCTCTGTGGCAGACCCTCAAATATTGGAAGATGCTATCCTGTCTCCCCTGGTCCTTCTCTTCACTAGACCAGCCAGGCCCAGTTCCTGCAACCATTCATCGTATGTTTTAGCTTCCAGGCCTTTGATCATCTTAGATAGATTTAGATCAACAGAGTTGGAAGAGGTCTTGTAGGTCATCTAGTCCAACCCCCCGTCCAAGCAGGAGACCCTACACCATTTCTGACAGATGGCAGTCCAGTCTCTTCTTGAAAGCCTCCAGGGATGAAGCTCCCACAACTTCTGTTCCATGGGTTGATTGTTCTCACTGTCAGAAAATTTCTCCTTATTTCCAGGTTGAATCTCTCCTTGGTCAGTTTCCATCCATTCTTCCTTGTCTGGCATTTGGGTGCCTTGGAAAATACCTTGACCCCCTCCTCTCTGGGGCAGCCCCTCAAATATTGGAAGATGCTATCCTGTCTCCCCTGGTCCTTCTCTTCACTAGACCAGCCATGCCCAGTTCCTGCAACCGTTCATCGTATGTTTTATCCTCCATTCCCCTAATCAGGGTGAAATCCAGGAGGTTCTGGAGAACCGGTAACGGAAATTTTGAGCAGTTTGGAGAACCGGCAAATATCACCTCTGGCTGGCCCCAGAGTGGGGTGGGAATGGGGATTTTGCAGTATCCTTCACCCAGGAGTAGGAAGGGAATGGGGATTCTGCAGTATCCTTCTCCCAGGAGTAGGAAGGGAATGGGGATTTTGCAGTATCCTTCTCCCAGGAGTAGGAAGGCAATGGGGATTTTGCAGTATCCTTCACCCAGGAGTAGGAAGGGAATGGGGATTCTGCAGTATCCTCCCCTGGAGGGGAGTAGGAATGGAGATTTTGCAGTATCCTTCCCCTGCCACCTCCACCAAGCCACGCCCACAGAACTGGTAGTAAAAAAAAATTGGATTTCACCATTGTTCCTAATCTTTTTGGTTGCTCTTCTCTGCACTCTTTCTAGAGTCTCAACATCTTTTTTTATAGCGTGGTGATCAAAACTGGATGCAGTACTCTAGGTGTGGCCTTACTAAGGCTTTATAGAGTGGTATTAGTACCTCCTTTGATCTTGATTGTATCCCTCTGTTCATGCAATTTAGGATTGCGTTGGCTTTTTTGGCCGCCGCCGCACACTGCTGTGTTGTAGACAAAGCTGGTGGCCTGTGTAAACTCTTTGTAAACAGCTGCGCTGTGTTGTTTGGCCATGACAATGAAAAAGGGGTGGGGTCTCTTTGCTTTGATTCAACCCGTCTTTGCTTGGTTTCTGCTTTCCCTGCCTGTCCCCCAGGATCAGAGAGGAAGCCGAGGATCGCATCGATGTGGGCACACACCCATTTCCTCCACGCTTCCCCGCCCCATCTGTTTCCCCCCGCGAACGGTAGAACACCAAGGCCCATCTTGCAAGGACGGAAACGGTGGGGCTGGAGAAGAGAGACGAAAATAGCCGGGAGGGTCCCGGGGTCAGCAACCAGGCGGACATCCTGTGCTGGAAGTGGTTAGCCTTCATCCTTTTTCTCCCTTTTAGGCTGATTTCTCCATCGAGAAGTGGGTAAACATTAGCACATATTTTTCCTGCCTGTCGTGCAGGTTAAATTGTTTTCCAGGGCAGGAAACTTTTTACAGCCCTAACTATTTTCTCTTATCCTTTATCCTTCTCTGTCAGCTCCACTTAGCCTCCTACCTAAGTTCATCCTACTTTCTGCTTGTAAATGTCTCCCCTTATACTCATACTCGTAAGTTTATTTGTCAAGCGCATATAAGATAAAAGGTAAAAGTATAAACATAATTTGAATACATGAAAAGAGTAAGTAAAAAGGAATATTAGTACAGGGACAGTAGGCACGCTGGTGCACTTATGCACGCTCCGTACAAGACCTTCTTAGGAATGGGACCCTTCTCTAAGTATGTCTAGTTTAATGAAAAGAAGGACAAGGGGAGACAGGATAGCAGTCTTCCGATATCTCAGGGGCTGCCCCAAAGAAGAGGGAGTCAAGCTATTCTCCAAAGCACCCGAGGGTAGAAGAAGAAGCAACGGGTGGAAACTAATCAAGGAGAGAAGCAACTTAGAACTAAGGAGAAATTTCCTGACAGTCAGAACAATTAATCAGTGGAACTTCTTGCCACCAGAAGTTGTGAATGCTCCAACACCGGAAGTTTTTAAGAAGATGTTGGATAACCATTTGTCTGAAATTGTGTACGGTTTCCTGCCTAATCAGGGGGTTGGACTAGAAGACCTCCAAAGTCCCTTACAACTCTGTTATTCTATGCTATGCTATGCTATGCTATGCTATTCTAGTCTAGTCTATGTTTAAATATACATTAAATATATATGTATGCACCAATATAAAAATATATGTATGCACCAAGACAAATTCCT